TTTCTTTTTGCTCCCCCCCCCCCCCCCCCGTGGAAATATGATACTTGCGTTTCGCGCGAGTTGTATCTCGTGGTTGTCGTCGGATGCGTTTCTCCTTTTTTCTCTCTCTTTCCCCTTCAACCCCCGTTTCCCAGCTCGCGTTCCGCACTCTGTCCGACGGGTAATTATCTCGCCGTTTGTCTCGCTCAGCAGCCGGAAACGTATCGCGCGCGTATCGCTCTCGCGATCGCACACCGTGAAACGAGGTAACTTCGGCTCTCTCCCTTTTCCTCTCTCTGTCTCTCGAGCCGAGTTCTCTCTCGGGCCCAGCTTCCTTCCGCCAAATCTTCCCCCGTCGCACGTCGTCCTCCGTTAGCGTACGCGGACATGTCCGCGGTTTGTCCTGCGCGAGGATTAATAACGCGGGCCGTATGACCCACGACAGCAAACCGCACGCGCCCGACAGCTCCTCTCGCAGAGATCCGCTAATTATACAAATGGCCGTGCTAATGAGCACCGAGATTCGTTAAGTGTCAGCCGCGTGCTCCGTCCGTTAACGTGGCCGCACACCTGTCCGGGAAGGAAAGCCGGCGTGATGAATTAAATTTCGGAGAAAAGGGAGAATTAGCTAGCTCGAATCCGCCGTGCGCGACCTTCCGGCAACGATCCCCGATCCGCTCGACCGATATTAACACGTTCGTTACCAGCGCCACACGTGTGTGAACTAATTTGCTCTTTTTCTTTCTCTTTCCGTCCTCTCAAGAGAGCAATCCAAGGGCGTTTCTTTCTTTTTTTTGCTTTTTTTTCGAAACCGGGATTTAATCGAGAAAGACCCAATTTGGTTAAAGCGGGGTCTGCAGTGAGATTTTAAAGCGTAAGATTTAAGAAATTGAATGATCTTAATTGATTTTTTTTTCCATAATTTGCGTGTGATTGGTCAATTTCTTTAAGGCTTAGATTCTCATTGTAGTATCCGCGTAGACGCACCATTCTTTAATAAAAGCAATTATAAATAATAGATATTACCAGGTGTAGAAGTATGAAACCGGAATTTTTTTGTAAAAATTACACGTCTATTGTTTGAAAATGATAAAAAATATTTTATTCAAAATAATGTCCATTGCTATTTATACATTTTTCCCACCTCTCCGGCAGTTTATGAATGCCACGCCAAAAAAACATTTCTTCTTTTGAAGCGAACCAGCTATCGAGCCATTTTCGTACATTTTCATACGAATTGAAGCGTTGTTCAGCGAAAGCGTGTCCCATTGATGCGAATAGATGATAATCGGACGGAGCCAAGTCTGGAGAATAAGCCGCATGCGTTAGTATTTCCCAACTGAACGCCTCGATCGTTTCCCTGACCCGTTTTGCTGTGTGTGATGGGGCATTATCATGGAGCAAAATGACTTTGTGTTGCCTTTTTCCATATTCCGGTCGTTTTTCACGCGATTTAAATCGATCATTTGCTGTTGGTAGCGATCAGTGTTAACGGTTTCACCAGGTTTTAGCAGCTCATAATAGATTACACCCTTCTGATCCCACCAAACACAGAGCATTGTCTTCTTTCCAAAGCGATTGCAGTGGATGTCGATGGTTCGCCTGGATTCACCCATGATTTCTGACGCTTAGGATTCTCAAAATATATCCATTTTTCATCACCTGTCATGATACGATGGACTTTCTTTTGTATCTGTCAAGCAGCATTTCACAAGTGGTTTTTCGATTTTCTTGCTGTCTTCCATTCAGTTCATGCGGAACCCATTTTCCCACTTTCTGAATCTTTCTCATGGCTTTCAAACGAATTGAGACAGCTTTCTGCGTCACATTCAATTCATCCGCGACTTGTTGAGTTTGAGTATCATCTTCATCCAATAAGGCTTGCAATTCGTTGTCTGCGAACTTTTTCGGTGGTTTCCCACGCTCTTCGTTTCTCACGTCAAAATCACCACTTTTGAATTTTTTCAACCACTCGAAACACTGTTTTACCAAGAGCATGTTCACCGTAAGCTTCGACAAGCATTCGATGCGTTTTCTTCAAATGATAACAAAAAACCAATGCTGTCCGCAAATCGTAGTTCGTAGGCACAAAATTCGACATGTTTAAGGTTATAGAAAAATATACCGGTGTATGGGTTGTTGTGTGTTGAAAATCTTCGTCAGCTGTTAGAGGGAGATGATGGCGCTGCAGAAGCGGTCTTACGGTCTCTAAACTGATGGCTAGCACCATCTATAGGGAAATTCCGGTTTCATACTTCTACACCTGGTACATATCTTTCTCTCTCTCTCTCTTTCTCGTGAACAGTCCCTCGCTCAAACATCAGTAAGCCACGAACCGAGTCCCTCCGGTTCTCAAGAACAAAATTAGTCCCCCGTTTTGCCTTGATGGCTCAACTTAACTGTTCTATTTAACCTGACCGTAACGTCTAACATCTTCTCTTGCTCTTTGTATATTTATAACGCAAAAACTTATCCTATTTTTGACCTCTAACATGTTAACATTGATACAATTTGAATTTTTCGACGTTAGGCGCTTACACATGTGTAACGCAGCAGTGACCTCTTACCAGAGATCAATATCATACACGCACACTGAGAGAAAATATTTGGTATAGGGAGTGTCCGAAACCTTCTTTTCGATCGCTCATGGGAAGATAGAATGAGCGTTAAACTGAGGAGAAAAGTCCTCCACCATTTTGCAAGCAACTACGTAAAATTTCGAATTATTAATTATTGAAAATGGCCAGAGGCTTCTTTAATTAAGGAGACCGGGCTATTTTGGAGAAAAAAGTGCTTCACCATTTTGCAAATAATACGCATATTTTTGAGTTATTGATTAAAGATTTATTAATTTAATTATACATAGCCATTTTCAATCGTGAAAGACAATTTTTCGGAAACCCTATATAACCCTATATAACCATAATCGTATTGTGAAAGAATTATATTCGGAAGAACCATACTTGTAGTGAATGTTACTATAGTATTGGTGATATGTCTATGCATATTGCTGTTACGTTGAAAAAAGTGTTATCGTTCAACTAATATTTGCTTGATCCATATAAAATATTTACTAGAATACTCCTTGACAAATATGTACTGGAAGTAGAAATATAATTGCCTATATATGATATGATATTTCCTTCATATAATTATACATTTACTTGTATGTGTTAAAAAAATTACGGCAAGTATTAAATCTCCATAAGATTGAGAATATCGGAATTCATGTTTAGAAAATATTTACTGGACAGAAAAATGTAAATTTAAAATCATTACGTTTCTTCAATGGAATAGAAGTATTATATAATTCTAGATACTCTATTCTAAATAAATAAATTCTAAATACTCTTAAACTTGGAACCATTTTACACTTACATTAATTCATTAACAAATAAAAATAAATTAATAATTCATTTACAAATTAAGATATTACTGCGTTTAAATAAGTATTTACTACAAGCTATTTGCATATACTTAAATTGATAAAAATATTATTTAATTTGGGGCCCTGAAAAACAAGTAATTATATTTACTTGACATTATGTGTACTATTTTTTGTTATAAAAACGAGAAGATATAGTGGACGCCGAAAATAATTTTAATGGCATTCGCCATTTTTCTTGCTTCAATGCATGTGTGACACATTACGTAAAACACTCAATTTTCCTATTTGATGCATTTTATGAGTGCACAACTGCAAACACGCGCTGTATTACGCATAGCCGCTAAAAATATAACGTGTGCTATAGCGAGCTGCTTTCAGTTTAAGCGCGGTAGCGACGTGTTAAACATTCTCGCTGTTATTTTCGTATCGTTGATGTTGCACGACACACGCGTTACGAAGAAATAAATCAAATCACACGTCTCACTTGCCGCTTTGCTCTCGGAGAAAGAAGAAAGCCACTTGCGGAAGCGCCACGGGAATTATTTCATAATTGAGCCGTTCATTGATATGTATGACTCGCGCGATCCCGATCGCGCGATAAGATAATAACACCGGTCATTATGAAGACGTCCCACACGTAACGGCGGTGACCGCGCGCGAACTTCTCATTTTCGATTCCCGTGATTATCGTGTCGTCTCGCTCGCAGATAAGTACGTACATTAAGTTCCACGCGAACATAAATCACACCTTGCACGTCTCTCGGTCGTCAGTATGCAAGTAGTCCGGGCCGTAATGACCGGTGCACGGTCGTCCGACCTATACGTCGACCCGTACCACTCGGACTATCCGAACTCGTAAAAGAAGCTCCTGATTCGCTCGTTAACCTGACACGAAGTTTAGGGCTATACGTTTTCCACGGGGGGCACGAGGGCGCACGTTTCTCTCTCTCTCTCTCTCTCTCTCCCGCGTCCGACGAAATAACAGCCGCGTGAAATAAATCATCTTATCGTCATCGTCGGGTACATACGTGCGTGCGTGCGTGCGTACGTATATCTCGGAGTAGAGATTCATCGAGCCAGGGATCGATGCGCGGACTACGTCGACGGTGCTCGCTTTTCGAGAGAGAGATTTCACCTCGTCATTAATCTCTGTCGGCGCTATGAACGGGGCTTAATGGCCGCTAACGACCACGTCTCGACGTGGCGCAAACATTTCTCACGGATCCTTGACCAGGTCAGTTATGGTGGCTCGCGGAAAGGCTCGCGCCGACATCTTCTCCGGCTTAATTTGTTTACGCGAACACGCGCGCGACCGAGCGAGCTCACCGTTGTGTGACGTCGTCGTCAATCGGTGTGTCCGAGCGACGACAATGGATCACCGGCGTCGACGTCGCTCCACGTCGCGCGTGGAGAGACCCGACGACGGACATCGTCCCGACGGATTGACGCGTTAACGGTAAACTTGGCGAGGCGATCTCGGCAAAGTTTAAACATTGCCGAGAAAATAACCCGCGAAGCCTCGAATTCCGCCGCTCGGATAATCGTACGGATTTACGGAATCGCGCTCTCAGCCAGACCGTCCTTCACCCCCCCCCCCCCCNNNNCCCCCCCCCCCCCCCTGCGGACTGTTGTAAATTCCCCGACAAGTTAAGATTGATTATTTGGCGCTCGAGCAATTGTTTTCGACGCAGGTGCCAAGAAACGGCGCACATTGCGGCGCAATCCGGGTCGTGATTTTAAGATATACACCTTCCTGCGATAAATATTGGAAGCGGGACTTTGTTGCGCGGTTGGTTTGCGCTTTATGCGAGTCGCGGGATTTTCGTGCGATTTCGAAAGCCCGCGGCTCGAAACACTTTCGCACGATTATAATGATTCGTGTTGCTCTTTAATACGTGTACTGAGAGAGAGAGAGAGAGAGAGAGAGAAAGGGGGGAGGGGGGAGAGGAGCAGAAAAATGGTTAATCTCACTACTATTATAATCACTCTCGACACTTTTCACTACTTTCCTCCTCCAACGGAATAATGTTCTAATTACGTAAGACTATTATCATTAGCATTGTGATAGCTCTTACCACAAAAATGGTTTCTCCGGAAATATAATTATTTCGAGAAAAAATATAAAAAGCATAATTGTAATTATATACATAAATAAATGAATGATTAATTATAATTATTTCATCGTGCAATTATAGTTGCAAATACCAAACATTTTCCTCTCGGTGTGCGTCGAATATAAATTTAACGATGCGGTCAAATAAATAGTTACACGCTTCCGGAGATCCCCCTCCCACCGTTTTTCTCTCTCCCACTCTTTTCCTCCTTTTCTCTCTTTCTTTCTTTTTCTCGATATTTCTCGGCGATCATTCGAGGCTTGCCAAAGCGGTCGATCGATAACGTCTGCTTGCAGTTACGCGGCGTGTTGCGATTTTCTGCAGAACAACAATTTGCTGAGCATTATAAGGGCGCACGAGGCTCAAGACGCCGGATACCGTATGTACCGAAAGTCCCAGACGACGGGCTTCCCATCGCTTATCACCATCTTTAGTGCGCCCAACTATCTCGACGTATACAACAACAAGGTAAAGAGACACACACCGGTTCGCGAGTCCGCATCGGCGGTCGACGTCTCTCTCCCCGATATTAATTCGTTAATTCGCACGTTTGCGTTGTCGAAGCTCGGTGCGGTGTTATTACAACCCCGTCCGTTCGTTATCACGGCTCGTGGACCCCCGTCGGGATCGGTCCACCGTAGTCGTCAAATTTTCGATACTCGTTGTGCTCGCAGGCGGCGGTTTTAAAGTATGAAAACAACGTGATGAACATCAGGCAGTTCAATTGCTCGCCACACCCGTACTGGTTGCCCAACTTCATGGACGTTTTCACATGGTCGTTGCCGTTCGTCGGCGAGAAAGGTGAGTCCGTGCGCTCCGCCCTTCGCCAAACTGTGGCGAAGCGATTATCGATATTCTCTGTTGAGAGAAACTTTTTTTTTTTTAACTAGTTCTCCGAACTGAATTAGAAACAAATTAATTGATCTGCTTGGATGGCATAGATAGAAATTTTATTTATACGATTTTAATATTTCTAGTGTATATTTAGTCACGTAATCCCTGTTTTCTCTTTTGTATTTTCTCTTTTCTCCCAAAATTCTGATATAAAAAACGCTACAGTTTCCGTCTGTCGTCTACGATTATTATAATTTCTTGCACATTAAAGGATCCGGCCCGTTAATAAGTTAATAAATAAAAATTATCGACATTTTGCATTCAACACAATCTGTGGTGTCTGCTATGAAGACTTTCGAGTACAAAGGGTTAACATATCTCTTTCGAGAATTTTTATCATCAACACTGATGTGTCGTTGTTTCGAAAAATGTCCAATCGAGAAAATATAACTCTGAAAAATTGAGATGTCATTTAGAGACACGCGAGAAGACACCTCGCTGCGCGTTCTCGTCCAGCGAGACGTTTTTAACGAGCGGCTCTTCGCGCTCTCTCTCTCTTTTTCAGTTACAGAAATGTTGGTGAATGTGCTGAACATCTGCTCGGACGACGAGCTGATGACCGACGGCGACGACGCGCTCGAGGAAGGTAATGTCCACCATTCAGCTCTCATATCCCACCTTAATCCATACACGGTATTATTTTGCAGACGATGTTTCGAAAAATCGATACTCAGACTGGTCGCTCTTATGTCGTGATCAGAGCCCGCGTCTGTTGACCCTTCTACTTCGGGCCGCGCACTCTCTCGAGTCGCCCGAGTCTGACTTCTTTTGAATCTGTTTTTTGGAACACGCGGCTCGTGTTTGAGTGCAAACGCGAAACGAGACTTACGCGAGACTCGTCGCGCTCGGACGCGACGCAGATACACTTCCTCTCAATCCTCACGGAGAAAACAAATTTCGCTAAAACAGCAAATGTTTGTCACTGCAGTGACAACGAAGCAAAATTTGTTTAGACAGCAAAATCATTTTGTTTGGACAGTAGAAAGATTTTTTCAGAGTATTAATTACTATTTGCTGGATATACGGACAGCAGAATAATTTGGTCAGGCCAACTAAATTTTATCGCTGTAGCAACGACGTTCTGTCAGAAGGGCAAAATTATTTTTACCGCGCGACAAATCTTTTTGTTGTCACAATATTAACAAACAATTTGCCGCAAATTCTTGTTTTCTCCGTGTCGTCCCGGCTGTAGCCGAGAAGATATTGGAAGAGCAAATTTATTTCGCAAATTCATGTTGCTCGCTTCTCGCGTAACACGATATCGTGCGAGAAAAATCGCGCGCGAAAGAGAGAGAGAAAGAGAGAGAAAGAGAAATGCGTAATTCCTTCTGCATTCTCGATCTGTGAGATACTTACTACTCGATCGAGTCTGCCATGCTCTCTCTCTATCTCTCTCTCTCTTTCTCTTATGTCTTCGGCAAAATTCATTTCATCCGGATTGCGCTCTAATAACAGCGCGACAATTTCATCCGTCATTTCTTGAAGACGATGCGGACGGACGGACGGACGGACGAATGGACGGGGAGAAGCGTGATAAGACCGCGATCTCTCGCGATAATACATATCTGAAATCTTTTACAAGCTCCGACACGATCTAAGAGAGGCCACGTCACTCCCGCGCGCCGGAGAATGCGGCGAGGATTCATTCCTCACGTTCTCCCGTGCGCCGAGGCGATAGAAAAGAGTCGGAGACGATCTAACGATGAAAAATGAATCGGGATCCTCCGCGTACTCTGAATCGCCGCATTTCTCCCGAAAAGGAAGATCGATCGTGCACACGTGCGCCGGGATTGGTTATAAGCGGGGGCGAGAGTTCGCGCGCGCGCGAATTTCCGCGAGAAGCCGCGCACCTGTCATTTCCTCGCGGCGATAAAAATTGGCAGCTACCGGCGTCGAGCGCCGGGCGCTCTCTCTCTCTCTCTTGCTATTTCCGTTTTCATTTAAACGTTTTTCGGTTTAATGCAATTTTTCGCTTTAAAAGCGGCGATACGAAGCGTCGACTGATTTTTCGTCGTGTCCGCCCTCCTCACCCGCTGCTGTTGTTGCGTTCACAGGCAAATCTCGGCGCTGGCACGATCGATCCGCCGTTTCGAATCGACACAATATTCCCTCAATTCGATTTCAACAGCACCTGCGAACTTTTACGTACCTTCTGAGCATACTTTCGTACATCCCCCCCGCCCCCCTTTCGACTCACACACGATTCTGCTGTGATGTTTCGCGCACCTCTCGAAATTCAATAATCTCGAGCAGAAGATGAGCAAAAGAAGAAGAAAAAAAGTAAAGAACTAAGAATATAGTAATGACATGTCCTGCTGCGCGCGACTTCCCGAATATACGTTTTGCGCCTGGCAAAAAGAAAAGAGTATATTAGAGTCGATATCTGCAAAATATCTATCACCTCCGACCTCACTCTTGCAACTTCCAGAAACAAATCTTGAATTCTCTTTCTGTTTACATTTTCACTCGCTGCACGGACAGATGGTAAGAAACGCCGCTCGATTCTTCTAAACGTCACACGATTAAGAGCTTCATTGATTATCATTGATTTTTAGCTATTTCATAGTAGTCTCAATGTCGAGTTTCTCTTCCTCTCTCTCTCTTTCTCTCTCTCTCTCTCTCTCTGTCTCTCTTTATCTATCCGTCTATCTATCTATCTATCTATCTATCTACCTCCCTTTCTCTGTCTTTTTCTATTCCTCTTTCTCTTTTACATTTATTCGTCTGCGACGTCGTATTTCATTCTTCCCGGGTACAAGAAGAAGAACGTACGTACGTACGCGCGTTTATCGTTTCCTCTTTTTCTACTTTCTGTCTTTCGTTCTCTATGATCTCCACATTGTGTGTACTTATGTATATATATTATATACGTATACATACATATATATATATATTTTTTTTTCAATTTTTTTGTATATTCCTTTCTCTTTATCTTCGACCATCTGTTTCATGGTATTTGCGATTTCTCGCATCAAGATATGAGGTTCTCCCTCTCTGTCTGTATCTCTCTATCTCTCTCTTTCTCTCGTATATCTTACTTATATCTCTTTCTCTCTCGGTATCTGCTCTCTGGCACTTTTAGTTTCACTTCCCCGATTATGTATGTACATGTATGTGTGTAATACATATTCGAGATGTCTCGACGGCACCATATAGCCTGGATTTTTACATCTTCACCCGGTAGACTTTGATTTTCTGCATCATTATATACTCTCATAGCATCTCCATACGTTTGTTCAAAATGGCATCAAAGGCGGTCTCTTACGAGTAACTACAGTTTGCCGAGGCTCCGAGGCCATATGTACATTATTTTGGTGTACCCTAGAGTCGAGTCGACACCGATATTCGGGAACATGTCGGGAGAGATGCCGTCTTGCCATCTTGCGCATTACGATCTATATATTTCACGCATGTGCATCGCAGCGATCGGCCAAATCGTCTCATTCGGCCTCATCTTAATGATATTTTCTCGGTGTCACTGTGGAGAGTACCTCTAGAGTGATTTCTCACTTTAATCACGTTTTACACTCCGACCGACCGTCTACCACTGTCCGAATTCCGTAGTCGGTTTCAATTTCTTTCATGTGTCATGTCCATTCCGCCCCTGCCGGCCCGTTTCAGTACATTTTCCTTTTTTTTTTTTTTTTTCGTACGTTTCATATGTGTGTGTATAGTTCTCTCTCTCTCTCTCTCTCCTTCTCTCTCCCTTCCCCACTACTCATCGATAACCGTTGTGTGTAATGGATTTCCCGGGTATGGAAAGTTAGAGAACTCCCGGAAACCGGCGGATGGAGCCGTCGTGACCGACTGTGCGGCCGCGAGACTTCACTTTCCTGCGCTGCGAATGCGCGTGCGATCAAATTGCAAAGCAATCAGACCTTGTCACGAACGTGTCGTGTAGGAATATAATTTTTTTATGGCTCATTAAATTATTCGAACCACGCCGATATCTAGCTGTCGTCGTCGTCGTCGCTGTCGACGACGATTAATTTCGCCGTGCGGTCGAAGAGAGACGGGGACGGGACTAATTTGTTGATGTGATTCTCACTCTCATTCTCTCTCTCTTTCTCGCTCTCTCTCTCTCTCTCTCTGTCTCATTCACTCTTTCTCTCTCTCTCTCTCTATCTCTCTCCCTCGCGGTACGTCGGAAGGTCAGATCGATATCGCACCTCCGTGTCAGTCGGTCAGACCACGCGGGTCTAAGAGCATCCATCCGCCGGCCGGGTCCAAACCCCGATGAAGAAAATCAAGCAGAGCTGCCCCTCCTCCCCCCCCCCCCC